TTGATGTAATTCAAAAATTAATAAAATTAAAGGGAGTTCCATCAGAAATTCCATGTAGATAACAAATGGCATAATTTTTTTAGGATCACATGTAAACAATTATGTTCCATGTGAGTGATGCACAATGAAGAGAAATGAATAGGAAAGCAACCTGGATGGTTGCTGAAGTTCAATCTGTGGAACAGGTGGGTGTGTGTGTGTGAGTGTGAGCACATTCACACTTGTATGTGTAGTCCAGACATAAGTATTGAGATTATGTTGGTCTCCTTCTGAGAAATAGAATAGCATGCTCTGCTCTGATTCACATTTTGACAGGACCACTCTGTCTCTATACTGATACAAAAGAAGAGTGAGGTGAAGATGAAAGCAGGGAAATGCCAATTACATAGATAGTTATGATCTGGAGGAAAATGAAGGTTACCTGAATCAAGATGATCCAAAACCCCTAACATATGTTTATCCTCTTGGCTTTACCATATCTTTAAAGGTGAAGCCAATAAGATTTGATGGCATTACTTGTAGGGAATGGAACACCCTATCCCAAGATATTTGGGCTAAGCTATATTCTATTCATAAAAGAATTTCAAAATTTAAAAGAAACTTAGAAACCTTCCAATCAGGCCTTTGATTCTTCAAAAGAATTCTTTCTACCACAACTTGTTCCTGCTTGAGCACTTCTGTGACAAAACGCTTACTATCTCATCCAGCACGCATCCTGTTTTCAAAGAGTTCTGCTTTTGAAAGCTCTTTTCTTTACACTGAGCCAAAACTTGTCTGTGATGGACACGTATGCTATCATCACATATAAAAAGAAATACATATTTGGTCTTCATCCTCATTTCTGACATAAAGCTCCAAAACCCTTGAAAATTCATAAGTGATAAAAGCAATAAATATGTATTGACATTCATAACAAACCTCTTTCAAACACACTGAGTTTATGATAATAAAGCGACTTTTGTAAAGCTTCTAAGGATGGTGACTGGTCATGAGAGGAACGAGCCATGTGTTAGAGGGTTAGAATTTTGAGTCTCCTTCCTCCAACCTCTGGAGAGGGGAGAGGGGCTGGAAATTGAGTTCAGTCATCACTGATCAATGATTTAATCAGTCCTGCCTTATAAGGTATTAAAAATCCAAAAGGTTGAGGTTTAGGGAACTTCCAGGTTGGTGAGCCAGAACACATCCACATGCCACCTTGTCCGGGCTCAAAACTCCATGGGGACAGAAGATCCTGCATTCAGAACTTGGCTCTAGCTATCCCTCCACCTGACTGTTGATTCATATCCTTTAATATCCTTTGTAATAAACTGGTAGTCTAATGCAGGTGTCCCCAATCTCTGGGGAGGTTGGCTGGGACCTCCTGTCAAATCAGCAGCAGTATTAGATTGGAAATAAAGTGCACAATAAATATAATATACTTGAATCATCTCAAACCCCCTCCCTGCCTGCCAAGTTAGTGGAAAATCTGTCTTCCACAAAATTTGTCCTTGGTGCCAAAAGGTTGGAGACCACTGGTCTAGTGAGTAAACTGGTTTCCTGAGTTCTGTTGAGATAATCTAACAAACTAACTAAACCCAAAGGGGGTGCTTCCCAGGTAGCCCTAGTGGCAAAGAACCTGCCTGCCAATATAGGAGATATAAGAGATGTGGGTTCGATCCCTGGGGTGGGATGATCCCTTGGAGGAGGAGATGGCAACCCATTCCAGAATTCTTGCTTGGAGAATCCCATGGATAGAGGAGCCTGGTGGGCTACAGTCCATAGGGTTGCAGAGTCAGACATGACTGAAGTGACTTAGTATGCATTCAAAGGTGGGGGTGAAGGGTTATAGGAACATCTAGTTTATAGCTGGTTGGTTAGAAGCACAGTTAACAATCTGGACTTGCAACTGGCACCTAAGGTGGGGGGGTGGGAGGAATCTTTTGGGACCTGATGCTATCTCTGAGGAAATAGTGTTGGAATTGTTGGAACTGAGTTAAATTGTAGGACACCCAGATGGTATTGGAGAACTGCTTGGTGTGGAAAAAAAAATCCCACACATGAGAATTGGAGTTGGAATGTAATAAGTGAATGATAAGAGATGAAAACCTGGTAGAATGGTAAGAGAAAATGGTGGAGAAACGCAATTTGTTTCTTCATAGTATGTCCCCAACACATAACATGGTATGTGTCATTAGGAATATAACAAATATTTTTCAATGAATAATTTGGAAGACTAGTATTATGTCATAATTACCATAAGATATTAAATCATTATTTCTTAAGATTTAAAAATAACATTAGAAAGTTTTCTCTGTCCACTATGCTCATACATGTTTCTTGTTGACTCAGTGAGTTTGTATGTGAAAATGTTGGTTTTAAAGAAATGAAAAATATCATAGTGTTCTACTTTATGACCCCCTGAAAGTGAAAGTCTGTCAGTCGTGTCCCACTCTTTGCGACCCCATGGACTATGCAGCCCATGGAATTCTCCAGGCCAGAATACTGGGAGTGGGTAGCCTTTCCCTTCTTCAGGGGATCTTCCCAACCCAGTGATCAAACCCAGGTCTCCTGCATTGCAGGCGGTTCTTTACCAGCTGAGCCACAGGGAAGCCCAAGAGTACTGGAGTGGGTAGCCTATCCCTTCTCCAGTGGATCTCCCTGACCTGGGAATCAAACTGGGGTCTCCTGCATTGCAAGAGGATTCTGAGCTATCAGGGAAGCCCCTATGACTCCTCGATGTCTTAAATCTCAGTTATATTTAAGCGTACACACCCTTCAACAAGGTGGTGGTGGTGGTTTAGTCGCTCAGTCGTGTCTGACTCTTGCGGCCCTATGGACTGTAGCCCGCCAGGCTCCTCTGTCCATGGAATTCTCCAGGCAAGAATACTGGAGTGGGTTGCCATTTCCTTCAACTAATCAGAATAGATTCCAGTTTGCTTATCCAGCTATCAGCCTGCTTCAAACTAGGGGAGAATGACACTATTCCAGCGCTGGGTTTAAATACTACACATCTCTATTTTGTTTTTATTGTAATGAAGAAGCCCCATCTTGAGCTCCTGCTGTGCACTTTTGGAAGGTCTTCCATATGGTTGCTGCTAAGTATTCTGGCATTTTCCCAACTGTTACAATTGGGTCAGTGGGGGGGATTGTGTAGGAGTAATAAAACAAGGGTGACTGCAGCAGGGAAGAACAGGATCACTACACACATAACAGCTTATTGCCTCTCAGGCATTCAAGCACTGCTCAACGCCATTCATTACAACAGGCAGCCAGGGTAAACTGCCTCTACTCCAGGAAAGGCCAGGCCTTGGGTGCACAGACTGCCCTGCTTACCTTTTTTCCCATTTCTTCACTTTTTCAGCTTCCCACAATATCTCAAATAACTTGAGAAGGAGTAAGACGATTATACTTTTCCTGAGCAGATTCTTAGCTAAATTTTAGTAGAAATGGCAGGAAGAACAGTTAGCCCTCAGGGCTTTGATGTCTCTACAGGGGGATAAATGAAGAGGGGAAATCTGATCCTTGAGACATAATTCATAAAACCAGAGGTGATTGATAATACTGATACTGTTATTGAGGTGTCTTCCTATCAGAAATCACATCTTTGGGGAAAAGTACTATTGTTTTCATCCTGTGGAAGGCAGTGTTGCTTAAAGCACTAATAGATTGGGAGAAAGAGTTCAATGCAAAATTAAAATTATAAATAGCAAAGTAATATATTAAACAGAGATGTGTACAAATACAAACACAGAGAGTGAAAGCGGGGGAAGGAGGGATGGAGGGAGAGGGACACATACACACACAAAAATGAACAATGAATTTAAGATCTTGATCCAAACATAGTATTTCCCACATTTATGCTTATATACAGAAGGATTCTTTAAATAATTCATTATGCTTTTCCTTGTACATAATATAAAGCTTTTGTTCCACAGTGAACACTGATATACAGGTATGTAGCATTCTAATATCCCAGGGACGGCGGAGCCTGGTGGGCTGCCGTCTATGGGGTCGCACAGAGTCGGACACGACTGAGGCGACTTAGCAGCAGCAGTAGTCTAATAGGTTCACAGTATAGCCAGCAATTTTTCTTGAGCAACTGCAAGAAACAGATATTAAAAAACCGGTGTACACCAAATGTGTGTGGATTTCTTTTTTGTTTCCAGTCAAGAGCACTAAATAAAACACGTTGCATTAAGAAAGTTGCTCCCCACCCTTCTCCCGGCCACTTCCAAGCCTAGAAACCGGATCCCTGGAGCCCCACACCGGGTGATAGGAGCCCCGGGCCCAGGGCCGCAGTGAGCGCCTTGGGTCCCGCAGGGGGCTGCGCGGGTGGGCGTCGGGGAGACTGCTGAGCCAGTCACCGCGGAAAACTCCCAAGACAAACACCACCAGGGCATGGACCTTAGCATTATCATCAGCCCCTGCACTTATGAAAGGCTTGATACATACAGCAAGGGGCTGGTCATAAATCAACTGGTTCCGGGACGACCCAGGCTTGTCCTAGGGGACTCTGGGGACCCCCTACTTCCAGCTTCCTGGTGGGCACGGAGAGCGCTAAGGGTCATCTCTCTCCCTAGGTCCGCGGAACCCGGATCTAGAAGCCACCTGAGCCCGCCCGCGATCCCCCAAGTACTGCTAGCATCGCAAGCGGTGCATCCCTCGCGGCGCCAGGACCCCTGCAAGCTGGAGGGCGGGCAGCCGCTGAAGTGAGGGCAGCAGCCGCGGCTTCAGGCGCCGCAGTGCGCAGGCGCGCGCGCAAACCGCGCAGGCGCCGCCTAGAAGTGACTTCTCCAAAAAGTGTCTTAGTTCGCGGTCACCTGAGCTCCGGGCAACTCGGCTGCGGCAGGCTTCGTGGATACCCGCTCTCCGCGGGGCCTGACTGCAGACCCCGCCCTCCTCAAGTGCCCATCCGCTCTGCCATCCCGAACCCTTCGAGGGGCTGTCATATCCCTCCTTGTTCTTTCTCACTCGCGGGCCGGATCGGGCCGAGCCGGGCTGCCCGGGTGCGGTCCCTGACCATGGCGTCCCTCTTCAAGAAGAAAACCGTGGATGGTGAGTTCCGTGCCTGGCCGAAAAGGCCTAGCTCTGCGTTTCCCAGGCTTATTTGGGGGACTTCCGGCCTTGACTCTTGTTGCTGTCCCTGGAGGCGGGGCTGGATCAAGTGGCCCCACAGGTGACCGCCTTCGTGCGTCACTTTTCCGCTTCCCTGTCTCTTCGGACGCGCCCTACCTCAGTCTCACCTGGGCAGTCTGGCTTCCTCTCTCTGATAACACGATCCTTAACAGCCCCGCCCCGTCCCCAGGTTTCTCCTTCGGCTGTATCCTGAGCATTTCCAGGAGGCAGGATGCTGTTGACCCTTGAGTGCCTTAGACTTGGTGATTTGATGAATTTCTTGTTGGTTTCCTCTGAGTGGTTTGCTGCTCCTTCAGTTTGGAGCTGTACTACTTGGGGGCATCCAAACCGGAAACCTGTGTTGACGTGGGGGGAGGGTGTAATAGGCTCCAGTTACCGAATGAACTTGATCTGGACCAGTCTTGCCCTGGGAACACCCCATCAACAGAGATATGAAATAAATGCTTCTTGACTGACATCCAGTAGAAAAATAAAAGAAATCCAAGGGAGGTACCTGGATTTCGTTTTCATAGTTGACTTCTGTCCCATATAAATACCTTGCTGTCTAAAGTAAGAAAGGTGGTTTGCATTATCTGCATAGACGCTTACGTTTTAATATGCTTGCACTGCTTCAGACATGTAACTCAATGTCATTTTAAGGGGAAAAAGTGAATACAGGAATATACAAATTGGTGTTTATGAGCAATGCTTGTCATATATGCTTATAATAGCTGTTTAATTAGCCTTGATATTTTTCATTGACTTTACCAGGAATCAAATTCATTCAAGTTATTTAGAAATCGTGTTTCTCATTGCATGTTGAGTCTAGGTTGTTGCTGGTTCAATCAAAGAATCACTTCTTTGTAAGGGTCTAACTGCCACAAATGGAGCAGTGGCAGCTAGACAGTGATTGGTACAAACAGGGTGCTCAGTCCAGACGTGGGGTAACTCCTGCATTCCTTTGTATTGACTGTTCCAGTGGCGCCACAATTATTTTGTGGAGGATGACAGAGATAGCATCTTTACCCTCCGAACTACCTTTTACTTCAGCACATGTCTTTGTACCCCTAATTTGTCACACAACATAACACTCTGTGACACATAATAAGAATTTTTGGTTATTCTGAGTGGGTGAAATTGACTTTCTATTAACTGAGAAATACCACTTACAATATTTGAAATAACTATCAAGTTTGGGTAGAAAGTAATGCAATTATGTGAAATGAGTTTTATGTGTATTTTACCTGAGAATGTTCATCTTTAACATGACACTATTTTTTCAGTGTTCAGTACCAACAGTATGGTTTTCAGTTATTGTATAGTACTCCAGGGGGGAAAAAAAAAGGTTTTTTTTTTTTTGTTTATTTAAGTCTCATAGAGTGAGAATTTACTAAACAGAGGGAAAGGGTTGCATCTTCTTACTATGATATTACAAATTAAATTTTCAAAATTAACATTAAAAGCCAAACATCTTAGCTCTAATTGCTTGATGTCTGTCAAATTACAAAGACATAAAAATCAGTTCTGTATTCTCAGTGCTGCTTTTCCTGGTGCTTTTGGCAATCCAGTGACTATTGTACTTGAAGTATAGAGCAGAGAGAAAAAAAAAGACAATGAGGGTGTGCAGTGACGATGTTTAACTGTATACGTATTTGCAGCTGGGTTAATTCATCCAAGAAATGATGTTTTTGCTAAATAGACTTCCTTGCGAGAAAAAGATCTTAAAGACTTTTGGAAGGAACTCTACTACTGACTTAAAGATCTGAGTGTGAAATTTCTGAATATAAATTTGGCCACTATGTACATTTTACTATAACCACCAAACTGCATATGTGATGTTTTCTTGAATTATCATGTCAATTCAGATCACTTAATGACATCTTAATTGTAGATCTGTACTTTTATTATTTTGATCTGGAGGTTTGCCGATGCTTTTATTCTTTATTTTCTCAGAAAAAAAAAAAAAAGATGTTTTGTTTAAAAGCTGACAGCATTCGTCTTAGCAATAATGAGGCTATATATTTTGAAAGTGAATGTATTCTTAGGCATTTCTGCCAGATCCTCAGACTCGTTGATTATTGATCATAAGATCTTTTACTGTATGCTATCTTTTTACCTGTTTCAGCAGTAATGAAATTCTGATATATAAGAAAAATATGTAACTGCTTATAGAGCTGGAGAATAATTGAATCTTTCTTGTCTCTTTGGATTGGCTAGAAGAGTTGCATACTACATCATTAAAGAATACTGCATATGTAAATTAAAAGGGGAGAAAACATTATAGCACTTATTACTATTCAGAGTTATGTTTAATTCATTTTTGACACAAAGATGAACAAGTCTCTGCAGTGTATACTTTGTTACAGAAATTAATGAGAATTGTAGCTCAGTGTTAAGGAAGAGAAAGATTCTTTTGAATTTGAAATTACAATTGACTACTTGGTTTTTGCTTTTACTGATTTATAAGAGATACATACACACACACACACACACACACACACATTATATAGCACTTCCCCAGTAGCTCAGCAGTAAAGAATCTGCCTGCAATGCAGAAGACATAAGAGATGTGGATTCCATCCCCTGGGTCGGGAAGCTGCTCTGGAAGAGGTCATGGCAACCCACTCCGGTACTCTTACCTGGAGAGACTCCATCAACAGAGGAGCCTGGCGGACTATGGCCCATAGGGTCATGAAGAGTCGGACACAACTGAAACGACTTGTGTGTATATATACACACACACACACACACACACACACACACACACACACATACATACACACACACATATATGTTTTTGTTTTGTTTTCCTTTTGTATTTTTTTCCCTAAGTGGACTAATGGCGACCTATTTTTTGAATCTAATTATGAACCTGTAAATCAAGATGCCATAAGGACTTGGGAATGCACAACTAAATATGCCACCCAAACCCATGTCCATTGAGTCATGATGCCATCCAACCATCTCATCCTCTGTCGTCCCCTTCTCCTTCTGCCCTCAATCTTTCCCAGCATCAGGGTCTTTTCAAATGAGTCAGCTCTTCACATCAGGTGGCCAAAGTATTGGAGTTTCAGCTTCAACATCTGTCCTTCCAATGAACACCCAGGACTGATCTCCTCTAGGATGGACTGGTTGCATCTCCTTGCAGTCCAAGGGACTCTGAAGAGTCTTCTCCAGCACCACAGTTCAAAATCATCAATTCTTCGGTGCTCAGCTTTCTTTATAGTCCCAACTCTCACATCCATACATGACCACTGGAAAAACCATAGCCTTGACTGGATGGACCTTTGTTGACAAAGTGATGTCTCTGCTTTTTAATATGTTATCTAGTTTGGTCATAACTTTCCTTCCAAGGAGTAAGCGTCTTTTAATTTCATGGCTGCAATCACCATCTGCAGTGATTTTGGAGCCCAGAAAAATAAAGTCAGCCACTGTTTCCACTGTTTCCCCATCTATTTCCCATGAAGTGATGGGACCAGATGCCATGATCTTCGTTTTCTGAATGTTGAGCTTTAAGCCAATGTTTTCACTCTCCTCTTTCACTTTCATCAAGAGGCCCTTTAGTTCTTCAATTTCTGCCATAAGGGTGGTGTCATCTGCATATCTGAGGTTATTGATATTTCTCCTGGCAATCTTGATTCCACCCTGTGCTTCCTCTAGCCCATCATTTCTCATGATGTACTCTGCATATAAGTTAAATAAGCAGGGTAACAATATACAGCCTTGACATACTCCTTTCCTGACCTGGAACCAGTCTGTTGTTCCATGTCCAGTTCTAACTAGCTTCCTGACCTGCATACAGGTTTCTCAAGAGGCAGGTCAAGTGGTCTGGTATTTCCATCTCTTTCAGAATTTTCCACAGTTTATTGTGATCCACACAGTTAAAGGTTTTGGCATAGTCAATAAAGCAGAAATATATGTTTTTCTGGAACTCTCTTGCAAACTATGTTAAATACCTCACTCCTTGTGCCCCCTCCCACTTTTTTTTTTAAACATCTTGATTTGTATTTTCCTGAATGAAAGTAGATCTTCATGCACTTCCGAAGTTGGATTATGCTTTTCTTAAGTTTTTCCACATTCCACATTTGGTTGGTTGCATAGAGTCTTAAGCATAAATGAGAATGACTCTACAGCAGTTTAGAATTTAGAGACTAAATGCCAAAATAGTGGCATTTACTAACCAAGAGTGGTGTTCCCAGTATCCAGAGCATCGTATAGTCTACATCCATCTTATCACCACCCACCTTGAACCTTAGTACAACTTTAGAGATAATTTGAGGAATGTTATTGACAATAGAGGAACAAAGCTTCCTGGGTTTTAACTTATTGGGTGCTGTTTACGTATGCTGGTTTTCCAGAGTTCAGAACTTGTGAAATTTTGACTAAGTTGGATAAATCTGTCAAGAGTCAGTTGTGATGCCACATTTTTGATAGCACAAGAGGGGATAAAATTTATCATCTACATAAATTAGATCCCCTTCAGAAATATCCCTGCCTTCCAGATAAACTACAACATTCTCATGGTGCTACCTACAGTACCCAGATCTTTCTTTGCATGGTATGTGTTCCCAGAATGACTATTATCCTGAATATTTTAAAACTCAAATTTTGCTTTCTGGTTGGTTCCTAATTCTTGGCACACCAAAGAAAAATAATTGAATCACGAACACAGTACTTTTCTGAGCAAAAATATTGCAACATTTTATTTATAGGAATGGAGACTTTATTTTATTTTATTTTTGAACAATTTCAGATCTAAAGAAAAGCTGAAATGACAGTATTCAGTGACTACCCATTTTCTCATTGCCTCAGTGTACCAATTATTAACATTATGCCACATTTGTTTTCTCTCCGTCCTCTATGTATGTATGTCTTTTTAAGTACATATGTACACATATCTGGGTTTTTGTTGTTGAATTATTTAGGATAAGTTATAGACA